TCATAGAACTCCTGAATTTGCCGACGACGTAGAATATAATTCCTTTTCTTAGAAGTGAGAAAACCATGAATTTTATCGATCGTCATTTAGAACCATAGATCCCCCCAATTTCAAGATGATGAAATTCGTGTCCTTAGTAATTAAGACTTCTAATATCCATATACACGATATCTAAGGTTATTATGAAATGGTGATCTACAAAATCTCGATAGTTTTTTTTGTATTATACCGATTTTTTTTATCACTCGAAAATGATATAATTGACATTTCCAGCTCAAAACGATACAAATATTGAAATATTCCTTGAACGAATTTGTAATAATTTGTAACTACCGCCATTGCTGTCACTCACTTGTACATGCGATCCCTATCAATGCTAGTTTTTGGATCACACCAGTAAGTATTACTTAAATGACGGCTCACACAGCAGCCGGTTATTGCATCCGCGCCGCTCTCTGCACGTTCGGTACCACGAGAATATTCAGCATTCCGAAGCCTTACGCTCGGGAATGCCAACGACAAGACTCAAAAACTCTTCTTATGGTGCCATCATGGGCTGTCCGGTGTACAAATATCTCTGAATATACCTCAGGGACAAGAACTCCGTCCGAACAAGATCGAGTCGTGGTAAGTCTCTATCACCATCTACTACCGCAAAAGGGCCGAACCCTTCACCTAGGCAAGCAACAAAGAAGCCTCGTACACCGTACAGATTGGACAGCGAAAGAGGGGGCCTGTGGATGGTTTCCGCAAGAAATGGGTCTCTTCCGATTATTGCTTAGAGAAAAAAGCCGTGTAAATGTCGCACTCACAAGTACCAGCACCCACGGCCAAACCTTCAGACTGCATATGCTCGCAAGCATTTGCAAGGAGTATAGGGCTGCTCTCCAAGCGGCGCGGGAGTCTGGTCTGCTTTCGTCACCGGTTGCTATGGCACATTACATGTGGGGCTTGTGCGGTTATTTTCCTGGTACCTTTTGCCCAAACTTGTTCAGGGGTTGAATTGCGTCAAAGGTGTCCTTTTCCGAACACCAGGGTATGCAATGCTGGGGGCATGACAGAGGACAGTACGTAGTTGTAGACACTCCTACGTATGGTTAGAGGATGTTGCAGGCTTCAGGGCACAGGTGCAAAATGATGCAAGCCTAGGGACTAGGGTTTAGGGTTTAGGGGACTGCAGCACAAGTGCAGAAAGCACGGCCCAGTCCCCAAAACCCCTACAGATCGATGCGAAAATGGCCCACTGAGGGTCCTTCTTCTGTTAGTGAGACTTCTAGACCCGAGAGTAACCTAGGAATACAAAGGGTACCCTGTTTGGTTTGAAGGGGATTATAAGTTAAGGGAACCCCAACCCTAAAAAAACGAAAAAAGGGCCTATTCCCGGTCCTAGACTTAAACAGACGCTTCTGCCCGTACTGCCCAGGCAGTCTTTGGATGACAGCTTCAGGATCGGTGTTGCTAGCGTTTGGAACTCAATGGCTCGAAGCTCTTTGCCGGGGAAAGCAGGGCCGGGTGTCAGAGAGTGTGTAAAAACATCGTTGCTTGCCTGCGCCCAGCGCAGTCCTTTGTACAGACTGCTTGACACGTACGTCGGCAATCGTACATGTAGAATGGTGATCGCGCCGTGGCAGTAGTTGCAGCGACGTCATTGTACTCGTGCCGGGTTCACCACCGTGAAACTCCAGACATGAGTCATCCAGACGTGCAGGGTCTTGCTTGGGATTCAGGGCCTCGTATCTCAGACTATTGAGTGCCAGTGTAGGGGATCACCGCAGGAATGCCGCGCCCCGCAATAGCAACATTCCACTCGTGGATACCCCTGTTTGTGGCACCACAATCCATGCAAGCACCCTTCAGCTCTAAGTCTCAACTGCGAAACACTTTACCCACTATAGTGGGTAAATCTCGCAACGCTCAGAAGTACTCAAGGACCATGTCGGATGAGGCTCTGCAGCCGCCTGTCCTGTGGAAGATGGGCAGCCGCTTCTCCGAGGGTACCACCCACATGCCCTCCAAGGCATCCATCAGAGCAAGAGGAGCGTGCACCTGCTGGTGACCAGGTACCACAGTAAACCAACTGCACAAGAAACTCTTTCCTGAGCTGAGCCCAACTATGCCCTACTGCAGCTATGCCAGTGTCGACCCCAAACCGTGTAAACTGGCTGGTTCTTAGTAGGGAACGAGGATCCCTTAAAGGGCATATATGGTGCCCTCATGATTCCCTACTAAGAAACAGCAACGACGTATCGGGAGTCCTCAAGAACTCCGCAGGCGCCACACCGATCCTACTTGGAGGTTTAGGGTTTAGGGTTTAGGGCTTAGGGTTTAGATGGGTACTTGTTAACCCTAAACTGTATTTACAACCTACTTAGCGGACTTGGGTGGCTGAACTAGAAGTGCTGCTAGAGCTTATCTCCCCAATCATAACTGTAGTTAGGGGGACTCAGGGGCTTATTAAGTGCAGGGATAATTGGGGCTAGCAGTACCCATGAACCTCCAAGTACCCCTCTCACCCTGCACTTGCTACCCCTTGTGGTTGACGCTATGTTTTGGGATTTATCAACCCCCCCCCCAAAAAACCTTTGTTCTAATATCCTGAACCCTAAACCGGTTTTAGCCCCCTAGACCCTAAACTCCTCCAAACCCGAAGTAGGGCTCCCTCGCATCTCTCGGCCTCTCGCGCCAAGTCGGCCACGGTTTTCCCCCGCGCGTTTTGAATCTCAACGTGCGCCCTGGCCTCGAGGCAAAGCTTGTACTGATGAAAGAGCGGTGTTGTAGGGTTTAGGGCTAGGGTGTAGGGTTGAGGGCTGCAGAAAAGTGGTATGCCCAAGAATCTCATGATCCAAGTGGTGCCAACAGGGCTGTGCGGGCATTTTGCAAAAGCCCCGAGACTTCTGTTTGTATGTTAGACTTCTAAGTGTTTCTGCGGGCTTCTAGTCGTACGATAGGTCATGTAGCTTGCCGACATGGTTGCATCTTGAAGCTTCGAAGGAATTTATCAACACAGATGTGCAAGGGCCGTAATTTTCAAGAAAGACACCCGTCAAAGAATCTGTTCTTTGTCGTTTCCGCTTCCGGGGAAGGAGATGTTTTTTGTTGGGGTCTTGCCCCCTTATACTAACAGTCCTTAATAGGGAATATAGTACTCCCCCCCCCCCCCTTTTATCATCCCTATAACAGGACTCCTGGGAAAAGGGGGGAACATCCCAATTTCTTTCACTTAAGAGGCAGGTGCGGCAGAAGGGGTTCTAAGGCGATGGGGGATTGGGACTAGGGTTTATAGGGCTCAGGGTTTCAGGTTTAGGTTCTGAGGTCGCCATGAGACCCCCAAGGGCCTCAAGAAGCTGGGTGGCCGCCTTGAAGTAGCCACTGAGGATGCTAAACATGAGGGGCGTCGCCCCACGATGGTGGTACCCCAGGGCCGTCAACGCAGAGGGACTGACCTGGAGTGGAGGTTCGCGTTCGGGTTCGGAAGCCATGGGTTTAGGGTTTAGGGTTTAGGATTTAGGGTTTCGGCCCTTATCTTTTGCTATCCGCACACACCCCTTCAGTCATTCACTCACCGGGGCCATTCTTAAAGCAACATGTCCTGTCTGAAACCTAGGGGGTCTTACGTGCGAAGCGCAGCAGCAACGTGTACAGTCAAAGTCTAATAGGCCCCGAGGCTGACCTGGTGGCGGATGCTAAGAGCTGCGAAAAGAAGCCGCCAGGTCGGCTGCGTAAAGTGAAGCGGCTCGTTCACGTCTGCTCTTGCCTGGATCAAAGTGGAGATCGACAGCGTCGAGCCCCCATCGATCATCAAGGCGTAGTGCAGGCTGTGCTTCGGGAGGCCATCCCTGTGCATCTGGGACCGCAGCTCGCTTATGACCCGATAGGACCCTGCAGCGCAAGCCAGGGCAAAAGCATCCAGTCCGGGCCCCATCCTACGGTTCGGGTCTGCCCTTGCAGCGTACAGGATCCGCACGCCTTCCACGTTATCCGCAAAGGATGCCGAGTGCAGGGCCATACCCCAGTGGCTCGCGCGGTCGTGCACATCCGCCCGTGCCGACAGCAAGACCCTTAGGGTGTCGTTGTTGGCAAAGTGGGCGGCCAAGGCCAGCACAGGGGTGTTCTTGCAGAAGCCGATGTCCGACTTGTGCCGCGTAACCCGATCCCTGCAGTCGGCTTTTAGCTCAAGTAGGGCCTCCACCAAGTACGGGTCGCCCTTCATGACAGCATAACAGATGGGTGTCCAGCCAGCAGCATCGCGCTCCGAGACGGTCCTGAACCCATTCTGATGCAGAAACCACTCCACCATCACCTGGGCGGGATTTGGGGGCCCTATAAAGATTAAAATTTCTATGGGCCATCAAGGGTATACAGGGATTAGGACCCATAGAAATTTAAAATGTATTCTAAATCCACCCCAGTCACAGCCTGTGGCTCGTCCAGAGGATCGCTTTGTGCCACGAAGCCCGGCACTAGACCTTCAATAGGCACTGCATCCAAACCTTCCAAGCAGCAGGCCATCTGTGTGTTCAACAGAAATCGATAGTTGTGCAAGTCGCCTTGCTCAAGAAAGTAATGCAGCTTCTGCCAAATCAGTTGGACAATAACGCTCGCAATTCGGGCCCGATCCGTCTGCCAAGTGAACTGCCCTGCACCAGGGGCATCCAGGTGCCTGCTCGTATTGAAAATCAGGCTTTGATGTACCGCGCTATGCAACACCATCACGTAACCGTCAGCTCGGGCTGCAAGCTCTCTGGCCAGCCTCTCAAGTCCTGAATCAGTTTCTAAGGGGAAAAGAACAGCCTTGGGTTTTGAAGAGGACTCTAACAGAACCCAAAACAAAGTTAGATCAGGTTCCCTACAGAGCCACCAAGAGTCTGCACCACCCCCTCTCTGCCCAGGCGTCTTCACCCAGCAGGCGCTGTTGCGTCTCATGAGTCACCGCAGGGCAAAGTATGACAAAATACTCGCAACTGGCGACATATGACACAATAGTGTCAATTGCACATTGCCGAGAGTGGACGGATCCGCTGTCAGTGCCTTGCGGGCACGAAAAATAGTCGTACCAGATAAAAAGTGGTCTGGCAGTCATCTCGGATGATGTGGGGGTCCTGGAGTGGCCAGCGGTTTAGGGTTTAGGGCGTTTAGGGCGTTTAGGGCGTTTAGGGAGTTTAGGGAGTTTAGGGTGTTTAGGGTGTTTAGGGTGTTTAGGGTTTAGAATAGCCCATAGGCATAGTCGGTTCTCATCTGTAACACGATGTTAGTTGCATTTGGTTGCAGTTGCCTTTTCAGCTATCTATGGCTTTGCCAAAGCAAAGTCAAAGTAGGCTCCCGAGTGCCGAAAGATGCGACGGTCCTGAGGCGGCCGTACTGAATCTCCATCACAACAGGAACCTGCACCTGGCTTTTCCCCGACATAAGGTTTGTCAGCGCCTGCTGCAGCACCTTGAACCTTACTGGCCCAAAACCCAAGGAAATAAAAGTTCAAACCTTCAGAATAAACTACTTATACGAAGCCCAAAAGTTGAAAAGTTGGGTTTTGAGCCAGTAAGGAACTGCTTGGCATGAGGGTCCGGATGGAGGTCTGACAGCCACTGATGCGAAACAAACATGGCCCTGCCCAATCTCTCCTCATACACGGTCAAGGCCCCTCCCTCCAGTAGCTCCTGGATTGATGATGATGGTGTTTAGGGTTTAGGGTCTAGGGTCTAGGGTCTAGGGTTTAGGGTTTAGGGTTCATTTTGCCACCCGCCTAGCTGACACTCAGGCCACATTGCAGGGACTCATTCCGGAAATAACTGTGATTGAGGAAAAGGAAGGAAGAAACCGTGCCTTTAATTTAAAGTTGGCGCAGAAAAGTTCGACGGCATTTTAGGGTTTAGGGTTTAGGGCCATACTGCACTGTAGCAACATAGTAGCACGCTCCTCGTGAGCTCGGACTTCGCTCATCTGCAGAAGGATATCAACGGACACCTGGGCATCAGATCGCTACCCTGGCCACCACGACCTCCCGGAGGCAACTTATGGAAACCTAGCAGCTAGGATTTAGGGTTTAGGGTTTAGGGTTTAGGGCTTAGGGTTTAGGATTTAGGTTTTAGGGCTTAGGGTTTAGGGTCTTGCTATCACCCCCACGGCCCCACGACCACTGCAAACCTTAACTCCATGCTCGAGAGGCCGTGTACATCGGAAAGGACAGCCGCGTTGGCACATCCTCCAGGTCGGAGCTCGAGGCAACATGGAGGCCCTAAACCCTAAACCCTAAACCCTAAACCCTAAACCCTAAACCCTAAACCCTAAACCCTAAACCCTAAACCCTAAACCCTAAACCCTAAACCCTAAACCCTAAACCCTAAACCCTAAACCCTAACAGGATGCAGTGTTGCGAGACTTGGTGTGCTTCGTCGCTGTGTCTTGGGACCTTGGGTTTGGGATCTCTTGCTGCCCGCATGGTTGCGCGACCATTTACAACGACACACCACCTGCCCTGGGTATTTTGCTGGATGGTTGTATTGTTCATGTGATTTTACTACTTATTCTGCCATTATCCTGCTATGTTGAGATAGTTTGGTAGAGTATTTTGTAATCGGGAAATGACATACTTACATTATCTAACATTACATATCATAGAAATTTCTGATTCTTATTAGTGCTAAAGTTATCACCTTGACTCCTCAACCCCAAACACTGGGCCTTTTTTGCAATCAAGAGTCGCTGGGCAGGTCCCTCAATTATGGGTTCCTTGTGTGCGTCCTAACCCCTAAACCCTAAACCCGAAACCCTAAACCCCCTGCATCTATCGGCCGCTTGGTAGATTTAGGGACTTGGAAAATATCGAGGACTGCCCATGTTCTCCAAATGACTGTTTAGGGTTTAGGGCTAGGGTTTAGGGTTCAGGGTTCAGGGTTCAGGGTTTAGGGTTTAGGGTTTGGGGTTTAGGGTTTGTAGAGTTCACTACAGGGATGGAGCCCTTTTGTTGGGGTAGTTGCATGGTTCCCAAGTCTGGGCCCTGAAACGGGGGACACCTTATTGTACCCCTTCTATACCCCTTAGATACCCGATACCACCCAAGGGCCCATACTTCAGAACCCTCTAAAGGAGGTAAGGGACCATAGAACTACCCTGAGACCTTTTGCCGCTCCTGTAGCCGGAGGCGCCGGTGTCGCTTCGCAGATGCCGCCAGTCGGCTAAGGGCCGTCTCCGACATTGCGACTCGGAGATGGATTCATACAGGTTTTCGGTTTCTGTTTTTTGTTTCTTTTTTTTGTGGCGTAGGTTGAGTGTTTAGAAAGTCGGGGGGGGGGGTGCTTGCGTGCGGTGCTGCTGAATGGCAAGCCTCACCTCTTGCATTCAGGGCATGATGCCCGATCATGCCACCATGTGAGGCTCGGCAGAAGCCATAGGCTAGTCGGAGGCAAAGAGCAACCACGGCACAAGACGGTATTCTCGCAAAGCTGGTAGTGGGGCGTTCGTCGTGATGGTGGAAGAGTGCCTTCTTTGAAGAAAACGTCCCTTATCGGCCTTAGGATTCAGAGTGTAGGGCTGAAGGGTTGAAAGTTCCAGGCTTTAGGCTTAGGGTGCAGGGTCCAAGGAGGTCTAGTAGGCGGCTAGGGTTTGAGGTTTAGGATATGTCGTGTGTACAGAGGGTTTTGGGTTGAGTTGCTAGCGTACTGATCTGATCTTACAAGACATCACAGGATGCCTAGACAAAAAGACCGTTTGAAGCAGGGACCTCACCTAAGGATACCCATGCTAGGCGTTCACTGCCACCGAGTTTGTTTCCAATGCACCTGTAGCTGCTAATAATTTCTTAGCGCTATAGTATGTGTAGACGCCCATGGACCTCCGGAAAAAACATGTTACTTCGAAGATCCCCACGCTACAGAACTATGTAGTAAACTATGTTATACTACACTATATAGTATACTATATATATATATATATATACAGAGTATCCTATATAATACAATAGATCGACTATGCTAGCATAGACCCCCCAGACAGTGAAAGACCACGACAGGAGACCAGCGGGAGACCACATGAGATCACCAAAATTAGGGTTTAGGGTTTAGGGCAGCAAGACAGCAAACCAGCAGACCCCAGGAGACCACCAGGAGATCACCAAGAGACCGGTAGGGGAGACCACGCTCCCCCACACTATACTACACTGCACTATACTGTACTGTACTATACTACGCGAGACGATACTATATACGATATCCTATATACCATACTGTATACTATACTATACCAAACTGGACGATACTGTAGGATTGCCGTAGCCCAAAGACTTCCTTGCAATGTGCTTCAAGTCGTGGGAGAAAGTTAGGCCACACACTTTGTACATCGACACTACTATACATTTACTTTACTTTATAGTATCTTCATAGTCGAGTATAGTGTAGTATCGTATACTATATACCTTATAGCATAATAGATGGTATGACAAGAGGAGGTTGTTTCTTTGGGGCAACGTTCGATTTTCCTTGTCGGTCACGCACTGTTGCTACAACGAACTGCGCAGGGCGAGACGAGCTTCCTAACGTCACCTGCTCATGCACATCCAACAGGTCCCCGATGTCCTTTAAGGTTTCTTTGCTGACAAAGAATGCAAACGTGGCCCAGGGAACCTGTGAGATCAAGCTTTGCATCACTGCTGTACCAGCCTCTGCAGTCTTGCAAGCCTTTCCCCAGGGTGGATTTGCCAGAACGATATCTGTCTTGGCCAGCACTGCCTCTGGTAAAGGGCCGGAGACATCCTGGGACTCCAACAGCGTCATCTTTTCTGTTTCTGGCACGTTTGCAAACCGCAAATTTGCCTCCAAGTGCTCTGCGAAGTCTCTGACGTCAACACAGAAGACTTTGGTCACTTCAGGCTCCATGGCTGCAGCCATAGCCAATGTTCCAGAGCCAACGCAAGGATCTAGCACGTGGATTGCACCCTTCACCAGTGCGCGTGCACAATGTGAGAAAATCGCAACTCTGGCGGCAGCTGACGCCAGCTGAGCCTCCATTGCGCCTGTGAAGGTCCATGGGCGCTGTTGCCAGCGTTCCATCCAAGGAGCAGGCCTCTGTTCTGGACCTACAGCAGCCGCCAATGCCCATGAAGTATCGTCTTCCTCTGGGTTTTCTGTACACGACGACAAACCTGTGTGAGAGCGAACCCACGCAAGCCCCATGCTCGAGCGTAGACGAAGCCTCAATAGCACCAGTCGCAAATCTGCTTGCTCCTCGGCAGCAGCCTGCTTTGTTCCAGCGGCGCCCAGGATTGCGCCGAGCCTTGCCAAAAAAGAAGGGAACTCCCCCTCGAACAGAAACGGGGGAGTCCCACTTTTGGACGAATGATGCTGTACCAGCCTCACCGTCCAGGTAACCTCGCTGGCGTCTTTGATGTCCCTGACATTGCTTTTAGAAATGCCCTCCCTCGCCTTCTTGATGAGCTCTGCTCCAGCAACTGCATCTTGAGTGCCTTGAGTGCCCTGCGCTTCCTCCAACAAGGATCTGCATGAGTACGCTGGGCCGAGGAGCACTTGGAGAGGACCTGCAAGTAAACCCACCGGCCTGCCCCGGGAGAGAACCTGGTCCCATGCTTGCTGTACAGCCAACCCAGAGGACTGAGTTGGCCAATGGAGCCGCCAAACCCCTGCGCCAATAGGGCTCAGGTGCCCGCCTGCCGATCTTATACCTGCTGCCTCGAACGTTAAAGCGAGCTCCAGATTGTACAATTCACCTTGCCAGCCTCCGCGTACCAACAGCAACATCTCTCCGGCACCTTCGGCTTTGCCTCTGGAAGCACTTTGCATTCCATCCACTCCCAGCCCATCATTTTGCTTGGCCACGCCTGTCAACCAAACTTTTCTGATTTGACGCCAGGATGGATGTTTAGCTGGACAGCGTGTGGCAACCAGTGCCGGCGTGAAGACTCCCGTCATCCAGCACGGGATGATTGCCAACAGGGCGGCTTGGCGCGCAATGGTGATGCTGCTACCTCTGCCCCGGCGATGTAACATGGCAGCTTCGGCACAGCATGAGAATGCAACAAGGCTGTCAAGTGCAAGCCTACAGCAAGCTTTCTAGAACAAATCTCTGCGATACCGTTGGTTGGGAGTAGCAGTGCTACTAGCCTGAAGCAACCCAAATAAAATCCAGCCCAAATTTTCAATGCAAGCAACATTCCGCCGCATCATTGCACCGCGTGACTTCTGACTACCTCTGCCCCTAATTTGACATATCAGCTGCAAATCTCAGTTCTCTGATGATGGTCATTTGAGATCGCAACATTTCAGCACCAACTTTGGCATTTAGGCAGTGGTGAAGCATGTACAAATTGCTATTCTTGCTGCGCTGCAGACAAACAGCATGCCAGATCCCTCCTCCTCCTCCTCCTCCTCCTCATCATCATCATCATCATCATCAACAAGCTCTTTGCCATGTCAGAAAATCTTCTTAAAGCTTCTAAATGACAAGGTAACACGTGGTCTCCGGGGCTGGGTGCTGGGAGATCGGGCGAGGAGTAATGGTTGAGTCTAAAATCTGACCGCCCCACACCGAGGGTGAGGATAAAGAAACTGAAACCTGCCAGACAGGGTTTAGGGTTTAGGTCTAGGGTGTTACGTGCCTTCCTGGCGGGAGGAGCCAAAACAACAGCCCTAACCCCAAACCCCCAACCCCAAACCCCATAAAGAGGAGATAGACGCTCCCACCAAAAGGCTGACAGATACCTCCAGGATGGGCCATTAGGCCTTAAAATCCCCATAATGAACCCTATAAAGGGCCTGTTAAGGGATTATAGGGTATAATAGCCCATCGGTCTTTCTTGTGTTCACGTGCTTGGAAAGCTCTGAAGAGCATTAAAAGGAGGCCCTTCAGAGCTCCCTCTACGGCAGGGGCTCCTGAAACAGGATCTCCCAATTATTGGGGAACGTCCAATCCACTATCGAGTAGTCGTATACAACACTGTAGTAGCCCATCTTTCCCTATACGATACAAGATACAACTAAAGATGAGACACATCGCTCCCTGTTTTCGGTTTACGCTGGATTTTTGCCTGTAGGCCTTGGAAGCCAATTAAAACCCAAAACGGACACCTGCACTCAGACAAGAATAAGGAACAAACCCCATACACCCTTAAAAAAACCCTACAAACCCGGAAAACAAAAACAACACTACAAAAAACCATAAACACCCTAGAACCAAAAAACAACTGTAAACCCTATAAACCCTACAAAAAACCCTAAACACCCTAGAACCCAGAAAACATAAGAAAAACCAAAAAAAACACTTCAACACCTGGAGGAGGACGTGAGCGGTGTGTGCAGGCCACCCAGCAGCTCCAAGGCGTCTTGCCCAGAGCTGGCCTTTCCCTAAACCCTAAACCCCAAACCCTAAACCCTATGGTCTGTAAACCCTAAACCCTAAACCCTAAACCCTAAACCCTAAACCCTAAACCCTAAACCCTAAACCCTATGGTCTGTAAACCCTAAACCCTCTCTTACTATGTATATTTAAACCCTAATGGGATTCGCCGGCATATTGTTTTTTTCTGGGCCCTTAACCCTGACACCCTTCGTCGGCGTATTGTTTTTTCTTCCTGGGTCCTGGACCAGAATCTGAAAATTGAGAGGGTCATTTCTGCCATATAAATTCAATTTAAAACTCAGCTGGAATCGGCCATTTTTGGCCGATTCCTGGGGTCCCCCCAACAGGGCCCTATGGGCGGGGGTCCTAAACCCTGACGCGCTTCGTCGGCATATTGTTGTCTTTTTTTTTTTTCTCCCTGGTGGGCCCTAAGCCCTGACGCCCTTCGTCGGCGGGGCAAGGTCCTCCCCGGACCCTGTTTGGCGCCACTTTTTTGACCTGGGACGAGGGCAAGGCAGCCCCCCATCCACCCCCAACCCTACCCCCCGCACCCCCCCCCCCCCCCCCCTTGGAGCCGTGACAGGACCCCCCCCCCCTCCAGCCAAAGCTCACGTGCCAGAAAACAAGAACCCTCCCTTGAAACCGTTCCTTTTCCAACCGGATGCTTTTGCCGACAAGTCGCGGAAAAGAAAAACTCGTTTACTTGTTGTTGGTACACGGATAAGCACCAACAAGTCGTGGACAAGTACCAATAATTCTGGAAAAAACGAGAAGTAAAAAAATCTCATAATTCATAATGTTATGGGATCCAAAGGGTGGGTGGGTCGATATTCGACACCGGAGTAGCGAGCTTGACTAGTGAATGCTTGAACTTGAGATGCTGAACCCTAAACCCTAAACCCTAAACCGGCTTTGTAGGTTCTAGGGGCTAGGGCTTAGGGTTTGGGATTTTTTGGTTTAGGACTCAGGATTGTCGTGTCTCGTGTTCAAGGTTGAGGGCCTTAAAGTTCCGGCAACTTGGGGGGGCTTCAGGGTCTTTCTGAGGGGTGGGTTCCTCTGTAGTTTGGCAGTTTGGGGGGGGAGGGGGGGGTCGCCGTGTACTACTTGGGGTTTGTTGGGGCTTGTACAGTTCGGGCTTGAGGTTTTACGGTTTGAAGGTTTTGGGGCTGAAAAGGGTTCAGGTGGATCGAAAAAAACCTGGAGAGTGTTTAGAAGTGAGGTGTCCCAAAAACAATGCAGGGCCCACATGGGGGGTGTGGGGTGGGGTGTTGGGTGGTCTAGTACTGGAGACCGTACCATCTTGGGGGGATCAATAGGGCTACTTTGAGGCGTGGGGTGTTGAGGTGAAGGATTTGGAGTTTTCAAGCTTAAGGATCTATTGGGTGGCTTGGAGCACGCCAAACCCCAGGGTGTGGGACTCATGATGATGCTTGACGATGTGAGGGTTGACACGAGCCAGTGCATGCTGCCTTGGATGACACGAGCCAGTGCATGCAATATGTCGATGACAGCTGCAATTATGATACAGTTCTCTCTTGATGTGAACTCAAGCTGTTGACAGGTTGGCGCGACCGAGCATTTCAGGCTGCGAATGTGCCGGGCTCTCTTCATGATTCTGTCTGAGCTGGTATGATCAAACAGGATTGCCCATGATGCGGCATCATGAGTCTGCTCTCATGTCAAGCAAAGGACTCGAAGCTTTGTGTGAGATGCATAGCAGCTGTGGCTCATGATGCATAATGATTTGCTTTTTAGTCGCCTTTCTCTATACTCCCCTTAGAACCTTAATAAACATAATATGTTTAATATCCTCTTGGGTTTTATGTAAACAAAAAGCAAAACATAATTCACAAGGGGGATATAGTTCTGTCATGGAGTGTCGGCCAGAATCTATTTCACTGCTCTTGGGAACTTTGCGTCAACATGGTTACGATTTTGCTGGAGCATGGGGTCAAGACATTGATTGGTCCGAGTGAGTGGCTCCCCCGAAAACACTCCAAAAACAGTCCAAGGGTTCAGACTTGACATTGCCAGTCCTGATGACAATTTTGAAACACTTGCAGCCTCACCTGTTTCATGAGGATTCCACATCAACGAACCTCACGAAGATGCTTGTGCTTCAAACTCTTGAATTTCTGACAGGATGTGATGCAGATGCTTCTCTTGATGAAGGTCTGCGTAACATGCCGTCTCTCTTGTGGTACTTGAGTCACAGGTGTCATGGGCGTGGTCGTGAACAGGCACTGCAGTCTTTTGCCATAGACTGGCGAGCTGATGGGGTGTGAAAAGTTAATCTTGCTTAGCACAACTAAGACATCTAATCTTTTCATGCAGAAAACTGTCTCTTCCAACGTTGTTTGCAGTCAGTTTCTATATTGCTTAGACACTCTGCGAATTTGTTGGATTCGTATTTCCAGTCAAAATCAAGAAAGAACACAAGAAACAAACATCCGAAAATACCATGGTCACTCTTGAACTTCAGTCGAGAGTGTCTTGTTCAACGAGGCTACGCGTTGTCACCACAAGGCTAGTGTCCTAAGCAGTGTGGAGCGCTCCAAGTGGGGATGGCAGCTTGCAGTTAGGGATAGTTAGGGTTTAGGGTTGGGACGTTCCCCCTTATACTAGGCACTAGAGTACACCCTACTATAATTCCTATGAAGGACAAGTTTAGGGTTTAGGGGCCCCCCTTGGGCGTACCTGGATCTGGGCCTTTCTCACTGCAGAGCCGTGTGAAGGGTGCAAGCCGCCATGCACAAAGCGGTATCCACTCATTGAGCGGATTTGGGAACGGATGGATGCAGATGCGCTACACTACCAGCACCCCGGTGGTCCCTCAGATGCTTCCGGACGAAGGTCCGCGTGTTTGAAACGTAGATGCCGTAGCCTTTGCGACTTTTGCATGACTTGTTGTGGCGGGGACCGGCACTGCGCAGGCAAGTGCCACGGCATCTTTGGTGCTCATGAATCTAAATTAACGCACTTTCGAGATGAGGCCGTGTGCCTCGGGAAGATTACTGCTGATGCTCTGCATCAGAACCACCTGAGCGACGAAGATAAGTGTACGTGTCACCTGCGAAACTAAAACCGCTTGAGAACATCCCGAGCCGTCAGCAAGCCCACAGTCAAGGCGCCGCCAGCGAGCCCCGTCTGTAGCTGTTCATTGCTCAGAGACTTACAGGAAACTTGCGCGCCCAAACAGCTACCCAGGCACATGCTTATCCTCGGCTGTTCGTGCCGCAAGCCAAAAAGAGTTCTTGCTACAGCCTTGCAGGGTGGTGGACTGCCCTTAACAAATGCAAAAACCCTAAACCCTAAACCTAAACCCTAAACCCTAAACCCTAAACCCTAAACCCCTAAACCCCTAAACCCCTAAACCCCTAAACCCCTAAACCCCTAAACCCCTAACCCCTAAACCCGAAGCCTTTCTGGGAAGAGCCCGAGGCATGGAGGCTGGCACCAGCACTGGCACGGCGCTACCACGACCCAGATGCACCACGACAGTCCTGCCATTGTAGGGTTTAGGGTTTAGGGTTTGGGGTTTTTTAGGGTTTAGGGTTTGGGGTTTTTTAGGGTTTAGGGTTTAGGGTTTGGGGTTTGGGGTTTGGGGTTTAGGTACTGGTGGTGCTACTAGGGTTTAGGGTAGGGTTGCGCGCTCTCTGCTAGCAGTCCACGGGGCTCCGTAGGGTTTAGGGTTTATAAGGGTTTAGGGTTTAGGGTTTATAAGGGTTTAGGGCCTTTAGGGTTTAGGGTTTGGGGTTTATCTGCCCGCAGCTTTCAGACGTTTTGAGCCCAGGAACAGGAGGTACGGAAGGCTGCTTGCCAAGAGTGTCGTCCCCAGAGCCAGCCGCTGCTCAAATCCAGATGCGATCAGGTACAGGATCATCAGCATCGAGTCTCCCGTAGCCTATACAGGGTTTAGGGTAAACGGTTTAGGGTTTAAACCCTAGCAAAAATGGCAACTTTTGCTTTTTCCTAGGAACTATAGTACCCCAAGAAAAAAAACATATTTCCAAGTATCCCTAAGTCGCAAGGGAGCCCGTGAGAACGCCAATGCCGGCCCCAACGACGCAATGGCATGCTGCGCGCGCTGGATCCCCCTTCCTAGCTCATGGCTGGGATAATATTCAAAATTTACCCTAAACCCTAAACCCTAAACCCCAAATTCGGTTTACGTACCCTTGAACATGTAAAATGTTGGCCAACGATGACCAAGCTTCAGCTTCTCGACCTGGGGCCAAAGCTGCCCCCACATGTTCCCCACATCGAGAGGCCTAAACCCTTAACCCTCAAACATCCCCAAACCCCAAACCCTAAACCCTAAACCCTATGGTCTGTAAACCCCCAGCCCTAAACCCTAAACCCTAAGCCCTAAACCCTAAACCTAGATGTGATGGCCCTGGCATTGCAGCTGAGCGGCATCATCCCGCAAGCGTGCCATGAAAGGACGCCGGGCCTGCAACGTCTTTTGAGACAAGTGCAACCCCCAGAGACACATCTGCACAAATGTTCTTAAGGGTTTAGGGTTTTAGGGTTTTAGGGGTTTTAGGGGTTTTAGGGGTTTTAGGGGTTTTGGGGTTTTGGGGTTTTGGGGTTTTAGGGTTTTTAGGGTTTTAGAGTTGGCAGCTCCATGCGGTCCTTGAGCTGGCTACTGGCAGCTGCTTCTTTGTCAGAACTGTCGGAGCAACCCATGTAGGCGGACCGCGCCGCTAGCGGCGCGATGATCAGGCAAAGCATACCTGTCTTGGCGGATCAGCAACTCAGTGGATGTGCCTTGCAGATCATTACTTGGAGGTTCAGGTACTTGTAACAAATCCGCCGAGACCGGAGCTTGAGGCGTTTAGATACAGGTCTAGGGAACTTTTCATAGTACCCACCCTCAAGGCGCAGCAACGGCCGGGCGAGTTTTTTTTCGCGCGGATTAGGTACCAGTGCCCAGCTGCGGCGGATGTGAGAAACCCAGTTTCTCACCCCCCCCCCCCCCCCCCCCCCCCCCCCCCCCACCCGCCTGCTCTCACCCCCCCCCCCCCCTCCCCACCCCCCACCCGCCTGCTCTAACCCACCCCCTCTCTTCCGGGTCCTACAGAATCTTGCGAATCTTGCGGCACCCTCGACCCCCACCGCTCGTGAACCCGAAATTCGCCTCGGTACCCTTGCCGAGGCGGCTTCACGTCGGCGGTTAAAGTAAGTGTAGTTGTAACCCACTCAGAAGCTCCTTGGGTACCCGAACAGGGCTATAATTGGGTGATAACTACACTTATACTGACAATTGGGTTACTAAGCTATTAAACCCTTAACCCTAAACCCTAAACCCTAAACCCCAAACCCTAAGGAAGGTTTCGGGAGGCGCCTGCAAACCCAAGTCGGAGTTTTGCCTCTGGCAGCTTACTGGCGACGTTCAAGCCGAAGAGGGCCCCAAAGAGGCCGGGGACGCCGAGACACGCGGCCGTGGCCAAATCCTAAACAGAGGAGAAACGGTTTAGGGTTTAGGGTTTAGGGTTTAGGGTTTAGGGTTTAGGGTTTAGGGTTTAGGGTTTAGGGTTTAGGGTTTAGGGTTTAGGGTTTAGGGTTTAGGGTTTAGGGTTTAGGGTTTAGGTACTTGTAGGTGTTGGCTGTTTGTGTCTTCTTTGTCCGTTTTCGCCTGCCTAGCTGACTGGGTCGCGCATGGTTCCACCACCAAGATAACCAAACAACAACGAATAAGCAAAAACTGTTAAGCACTCAACACACATACAGCGCCAACCAAGGCCCACAACGGACTTGACAGTTGACCTTTCTTCAAGTGTGGAACTGGTCGAAGACAATCTCTCCCCCCAAACATTTCAGACACGTGCAGCGGAAAACCAAGGATCAGCAGCCAAGCCCCTAATTCCTAAACCCTAAACCCTAAACCCTCAGGGTTTAGGGTTTGGGGGGCACGTACAGCACCACTCTCGTTAGGCATAAGGCGAGGCGCACAGCATCCGTCGAACCTGAGCTCTCTAGTCTGCCATTTCTGAGAGAAGCCCGGTGCAAAAATCTCTTCAGGGTTCGGGGTTGAGGGCGTTCAGGGTTTGTTTTGGACGTTGGGGCTTGAAAGCGGGGACGTTTGGGCTTGGGGGTTTAGACTTAGATGCCCGAAAATGCACCCCGGGCGCGACCAAATCGCAGCGCCGGAAATGCTGCTGAAGGCCTGGCCTCCGCACACTCGGACTAAAGCCTAAAGCCTAAAGCCTAAAGCCTAAACCCTATGAACCATGTCCGAAGGAGGGGGGGGGTGAGAGCCGAAACATCGAAGCATCAAGGCGACGCGAAAGTTGACGCTTGTGACGGTTTACAGAGTCTACGGTCTCAAGGCGCCAGGAGTCCATCCTCCCTCCCTCTCTCCCTTGTCTCTGCTGCGCCATGCCGAGGGTGAAGCAAAGGGCACGCATGAGAGAGCCAACAGATGGGGGTTTCCGAAAATAGGGGTACCCTTTTGAAGGGTCCCCTTTGAAGGGGGATTCTATCTATTTGGGGTAGAAAAGGGGTACCCTAAACCCTAAACTCTAAACCCTAAAGGGGGATTCTATTCTATTTGGGGGTATAAAAGGGGGTACCCCTATTTTGGGAACTGCCCGGATTCAACAGCCCCACACCCACAAGGCAAGAGCCCAACCATTGTTGAATGGTTTTCACGTGCTGCGGCTTCCTCTAGCCTTCAATGAGCTTTCTGGATATTTCGGCCCGGCAACAAGGCGAATAGCATTATGAAAGAAAGACACTCAGATCAACTCCTCTGTCTCTGTGTGTCTGCGTCTGCGTCTGCGTCGGTGTCTGTGTCTGTTTGCGCGCGTGTGTGCGTGCGGGTGGGCATAGCGGGGGGCGTGCAGTATATAGAAATATGTCTGTGTGTGGGTGAACGGCCAGTTCAACCCACTCAAAGGCACCTTTAACATGTAGTTCTAGTCTTGTCACCCTGGCCTGGAGTGGATGTGCCGATCGCTTGCAGCTGTGGCAGACCCACCAGGCGAGTGAGTCCTTGAAACCCTAAACCCTAAACACCAAACCCTAAACCCTAAACCCTAAAACCCCAAAACCCCAAAACCCCAAAACCCCAAAACCCCAAAACCCTAAAACCCAAAACCCCCAAAACCCTAAAACCCTAAACCCCAAAGGTGGGAATGTCTCCCAGCAAGTCCTGCGATGCTCACGATGCCACTGCCCACTCCTGAAAAGATTGACTCTGAGGACCCAGGGATGCCAAATGGGCTGCACTTAGGAGGGTAGCAAAAAATTAAACTTTTAGCTGCCTTATTAAGAAACCCAATAAACCCAAGAAGGCTAAAGATGTAAAGTTACAGCAAAGCACCACAAAGCTTGAAGTTGAAATAGAGGCCTAGAGTCCTAGAGGTGTGCTAGGGTCCCAGGGTCCTAGAGTTTTAGGGTTTAGGGTCGTAGCGTCCTAGCGTCCTAGCGTCCTAGCGTCCTAGCGTCCTAGAGTCCTAGAGTCCTAGAGTCCTAGAGTCCTAAGAGTCCTAGCGTCCTAGCGTCCTAGCGTCCTAGAGTCCTAGAGTCCTAGAGTCCTAGAGTCCTACTAGGGTCCTAATTGGTCCTAGAGTCCCAGAGTTGCAGGGTTTCGGGTTTAGGGCGGGGGTGGCCCTCATTAGGGGTTTACGAGGGGGTCCTTAATATAAGGGAATCCTACTATTTGGGGGTCTATATTCGGGGTCCCCCGTTTTCAACCCGCAATTGGAGTCCTAGAATCACAAGAGTCCTAGAGCTTTAGTTCAATGCATCACTCTTGCTTCTGCAAGAGGCAGGCCTACAGCACCGTAGACGACTCCGGCTGACAGGGATGAGACGCCGCAGAGGGTGATCTGCCGGGAAGAGACTCCAGACTCCCCCAGGTGAGCGGCATCTGGCTTCTGGGCCGCGGATCGTGTGCATCGCAGCAGGGCTCTCCGTATCATGCCAGGCAAGCGGAGTTGGAGCTTGGGCCGAGAATGTGCCATTCACGTTACCGCTAAAGAGCCGTGCCTTTGGCGTTTTTTTGCACGTCCACAACCCAGACACTGCGGGCGTATCACCACTCACATGCCACGAAAACAACTACTTCTAACAGTACCTTCACAAAAAAAACTAAGGGGTGCCATCAATGGCCATAAGACTTAGGGGTGCCACAAGGGCTGGTTGTAGTCCTCCAGGCTGTTTAGGCCGTCTAAGCTACTGTTTTCGACGCAGCCTTCCAACGACCACCCTGGCGCTAAGCAAGAGTGATATGTTGGCCTTGTGATCCCACCGTACATCAAGCCTGGCATGTTGACAATCTGGTGAGGTTTCAAGTTCAGCTGACGTGTAACGAAGCTACCGACACCGATTTTCCTGCTGGACAGAAATCCGAGCGTCAACCGAACGGGTTAGGAAACCACGGGCGCTCCGTTCCAGGTGATGATGCGCACGCACATCCCTGCGAAAAGGCCACGAGGCTGGAGCATTCGGGCAGCAGCTTCCCAAGACTGAGTTTTACTACGAATTGCTTAAGAACCGCCCAAAAAACCAAAAGACTCTTCCATATAAGGGCAATACAGGGACCGTGTTAAAGATTTTTTGGAGTTCCTAAGCAAATAGTAGACTGGCAAGTGCATGCGTCTCGCGGTTCCCGTCTCTCTTTTTCCTCGCTTCATTTGGAAGCTTCGCGTGCCCGGGTGAAGTCCAAGCCTCAACGCAACGAGCAGAACCGCAACTTAGAGCACCACTCTGATAAGGCTGTCAAAAAACATGCCTGACCTATTGAAGCAACAAAAATCCTGTTTGTATCTCAACACTGTTGATAGAAACTACCGAAAGCAGCCGTTCTGTAAGCTTCTGATAGCTGTGTGCGACTCTTCTCTACGCCTGTGGCGTGGGCTCGGCTCAGGAGGAGTTTTGGGGTTGACTGAGGTAAGTTGCGGTCTCACACTCGAAACTCAAGCGGTCTCCATCCTCAGCGCCTGGCCGGACGACCGCGATTCGCGGCCTCCCCGCCGGTTTTGTGTAGGGGGTTGGGGAAGTTTAGGGTTTACAGGGCCTTATTGGGGAGTAGTTGAAGGGCTTCAGGGGCTATGAGGACATCTTTCTTGGACATGCCGCACATTGTCCTGGAGGTACCACCTTCTGAGTTTGGAGGTGTCCCTTCGAGATTTCACCTCGTTTGGGCTCGGGCCAAGTATCAGCAGCGGTCGGGTTCCCTGAAACAAAGAGCTTCACCACACCGCCCTAAAGCACGAAAGCGACTGCACATATATATATATATATATATATGGTACCCCCCCCCCCCCAGTGACCTACCCTTTTTCGCCTTGTCTCAAGTCACAGCTGCACTGCAAGCAAACTCGGTGTGCAATATAGCGTATTTCCTAGGGCGTAGACTAAAATACAACTAAAATCGCATACACGGGACAGTAGAAAAACCAAAAAACCAAAAAACCAAAACCAAAAAAACCAAAAAAACCAAAACCAAAAAAACCAAAACCAAAAAAACCAAAAAAACCAAAACCAAAAAAACCAAAAATACCAAAAAAACCAATTTTCCGGGACTCTCAGGAAATCCCTATGAGGCTTCTCCAAGAGTCCCGGAAAATTGGTTTTTTTGGTATTTTTGGTTTTTTTGGTTTTGGTTTTTTTGGTTTTTTTGGTTTTGGTATTTTTGGTTTTTTGGTTTTGGTATTTTGGCTTTTTGGTTCGCCTTCACGGTCACGAGGCAACAACTACGCATTTTTAAGTGTGCTTATGCTAATTGTGCTTTTCAGAAATAGTATACAAGTGGTCTTTCTAGTGCTTCAGAACTATTTGTTTCGTTATTATGTAAGTAGAGCCGCTAGTGTTTAGTGCATCTTTTGGTTGTACTCAAGTGTAGTAGACCTTATTCAGCCATTACTTGGTGCTCTGGTAGCTCAATTCGCATGGATAATATTTGCCTGGTAAATGCGATTAATTATCTAGAAGCAGCATTTGCAATACTTGTCTTGAGAAAAAGCATTTATTGCTTAGAATTGTTTGCTTAAAAAGTGACGCCTACTCGTCCAGGAATACCCCAAAACCCTATAATCCAAACTTTACCAGAGATTCTCCTGAAAAGCTTGCGCTTTTGGATGTTTTTATGTATTTGTGAATTTGCTTGTGTATGGCCTTCACTAAGTACTTTTCTAGGATTCTTGTGCATTTTTTAAGCCTGATTGTGCAAGTTGCGTTTTTCAAGCATAGTATATATGTGGTCTTTATTGAATACTTCAGACATCTTTGTTTCATCGTTATGTAAGTAGAACCGCTTCTATTTCCATTATTGTGCATTGTTAAGCTTGCTCATGCAAATTGTGCTTTTCAGACATAGTATATAAGTGGTCTTTAGTGAATACTTCAGCAATCTTTGTCTCATTGTAGGTAGAACCGTTTCCATTTCCGCAAGTGTTTATGTCGTATTTGGTTGAGTATGGTCCTTTAAATAGTATTCACTTGAGTCAAATTGGGCTATTTGCTTAAGAATTCCTCTAGTAGTTAAATTCGCAAAGAATGAATACTTCAAAAAACTTGTTTCATGAATATGTAAACATAAGGTGTTTCATTTGACTTTGCAGATAGTACTTCAATAATACTTTGCCTGGTACAAACACAACTGTTTCAATGCATTAGTTGCTCAACAAAGCACTATTTGCCCTTTAAACCACACTTTGCCATATTTTGGTTGAATATGGTGCTTCTTTCGCATTTTGGTTGAGTATGGTCCTTTAAATGGTATTCACTTGAGTCAGATTGGGCTATTTGCTCAATGATTACTCCAGTAGCTAAATTCGCATAAAATGATTATTTCAACAATAAAAACGATTCATGAATATGTAAACATAAGGTATTTCAGTGGACTTTTCAGAGAGCATATTTTGCCTAGTACAGACACAATTGTATAAATACAGTATTTGCACTTTAAACGCACACGTTGCCATTTTTTGGTTGAGAATGGTGCTTATTTCGTATCTTGGTTGAGTATGCTCCTTTAAACTGTATTCACTTGAGTCAAATTGGGCTCTTTGCTGAAGAATTACTCAAGTAGCTAAATTCGCATAGAACCAAGAAAAATGTTTCACTATTTGATTAATACTTTGCCTCGTACAAACACAATTGTATAAATAAATTAGTTGCTCAACAAAACATTAATTGCCCTTGAAACGCACAATTTGCATAGAAAAACACTGATCTAAACATCTAAAAACAGCATTGTCCGCTTCAGATTCAAAATGTAGATTCTTCCAATGCTAGCTTATCGGGGTCTGTGAGGTGGGTGTCCCAGTAACTGTCCTTCATTACCCGGTGATTAACTACGCGACTTTTGGGCCTTCTTTGTTATTTTTTGTTAAAAAGGCCTAAAAAGGGTAGGTCGCTGGGGGGGGGGGGGTAGCATATATATATATATATATATAGAGAGATAGATAGATAGATAGATAGATAGATAGATAGATAGATAGAGAGAGATAGATAGATAGATAGATATATACATATATGTATCTATATGCACAGACACATACATACAATGCAACACATCGTACAAACATGAGACAGAAGATTAGACATACAATGCTTGAGCATGCGTGGTAAATCATAGTCCCGTCTTGGGTACCCTTAATATTAGGGGCCGCCTTACCATGGTAACCCCAAAATTTAACAACCCTAAACCCTAAACCCTAAACCCTAAACCCTAAACCCTAAACCCTAAACCCTAAACCTATACCAACCCTCTCAGAATCCTGGGCCCTCCCCGTGCCTTCCTCTGCGCGGGTGGCCTCGCAAGAGGCAACAAAATGGATGTCTAGGGTTTAGGGTTTAGGGTTGCTTACAGGATGAAGAGAACGACGAGTCGATCCACATAATGTGCGGTTTAGCCATCTGAGCATCGGGTGCCAGCGTGAAACACCAAACAGGGTTTAGGGTTTAGGGTTTGGGGTTTGGGGTTTGGGGTTTGGGGTTTGGGGTTTGGGGTTTGGGGTTTGGGGTTTGGGGTTGGGGGTTTGGGGCAACAAAAACCTGGCATCGAGACCCAAGAAAGGCCCAGCAACTTCGAAATACGGCCCACGCGCGCCTTCTCGCTGCTGCTTGGGCGGAGGCCTTGGGCGAGGCTTGGTTTTAGGGTTTGGGGTTTGTGGTTATAGGGTTTAGGGTTTCAGAATTCAGGGTTTTGGGTACAAGTGTTAAGGGTTAAGGGTTTACAAGGGACAAGGGTTTAGGGTTTAGGGTATCGTATAGAGTTGAGGGTTTAGCTGAACCCAGGACCCACAACCTGACATTCTCAGCCCAAGCGAGACTAGTGTACGGTACGGCCCAGAAGGAGTGGAGGTGGACTCTCCTTCCTCTGAATCCGGCATGCACCTATGGGCCTTGCAGGCGCACTGGTTGATGATTCGCTTGCAAAGGTCTCACGTGACTCGGTGCAGATGGGGGCCCCACGGCAAATGAGGAGAAGCTTCTTTCCAGCTCATTGTGCAAGTACTTCCATCTTCATGTCCCTCTTTATTTAGACAGTTTTAGGCATGAGAGCGTGATCGCCGTTGCCAAGCTCAAATCAAAGTCCACCTCCAAAGACACCAAGATTCTAGAACCGTAGCAACATGCAGCAACCATAGCAATCCCCGCGGAAGCGGCGAGCGCCGAGGCGTTTTTTGCTCACGGGGTCGCGAGCAGCTTGGGTAGTGCGCTCCCCTTCGCAGCCCCCATCGCAGCGCGCCGCGGGCTTCGCAGCGCTGCTGGAGAGGAGGAGCGGGTGTTAAGACATTATCATCCGAGCTAGGATCGTTGTCTCATCGTTATCTCAGAATCGTGTGGCTGTTTCAAGTGCCAGGTCTCTGGGATAAGCTGCGGGCGGCAAAAATTCTGTACTGTTCTACTACTTTTTTGGCCGAGTGGCATGTGCAGGATTTTACCGCTCACTACTGCCAACCACCTCAAATCCCCCCTTGCCAAGCCTACTCAAGCCAGATTAGTTGAACTGTCAAGTGTCACGGTGGGACGACGGAACCTGGCACCCGAAGAGAAAAAGCCATCTTGGCATGCATATTTACACATTCGGATGGCTCGGCGGGGAGCGCAAACAAGGGAGGCATGTCATATCGCAACAGCGATCACAACTAGGCAAAGCCGCAATACATGGCTCAGTCTACCTAGCCTATCAAGCTACCTGTGGAAGACCTCATCATCCCAAACATACACTTGCATCCTCAGGCCGAATCCCCCCCCCGCCCCCTTGCGAAGTCGAAAATTGAAGCATCTGCCGTTGCCGGGTCCTGCTCGTCGTCTGGGGAGTTGAGGCGGCGTGAGGCTGTGGACAATTGAATGAACGCTAGCAGTGTCATTCACTGAGCCACGTTTCAACATCTTTGGGAGACATATGAGGAATCATTACAGGCCCCTACCCACAAACGGCAACCGCAGGAAAGCACGCAAGGTCTTTGTGCATGCTGTGCTGGCAAATATGGGCATATGTGGTGACTCCCTTCGCAGCGTGCTGGAATGACATCTAAAGCAGGCCCTGCGGCCGCCCTATGCCCTATGCATCCAACAAGCTCAGATCCATCTCCAGCTCGCATCCAGCCATCGGCCCACCTATCGGCCGCATGGTGCGCCCCCGGCGGGGCTCTGTGTGGGGCTCCGGCCACGCTCTCGCCTCGCGCGCCCGGCCGGCATTCCGCAAGGTCCAGGCCCAGGCCTCCGCATCCTCCCCGCTCACCTCGGGCTCCGCCTCGGGCTGCGCATGTGCAGCACGTGCGCCCGATGCGCCTGACGGGAGGTAAGTGCCGAAGCCCAGGTTCTGCAGGTCCAGTCGCTGCTGTGTGCGCTGGGACCGGGTCAGCGCGCGACGCAGGGCATGTACGGCGCGCCCACCGCGCAAACCTTGGAGCGTGTTCTGTGCTGGCACTGCCTTTGGCGCCGCCTCTTTCCAGGCCTCGACTCGGGTCGTCTCCACCGCCTTTCGGCGCTCCCGCTCGCCGCGGGCACTACGGGCAGCGCGGGCTCCATGTCCTTGGGCTTGGGCCCGGCCCTCCTTGATGCCATAGGCCAACCCGCAGGCGGGCAGGAGGCATAGGATGCCGGCCACACAGCCCACAACGCCCATGATGACGATGGCCACACTTGAGGCTGCCATCTGGTCGTCCCCTCCTTCGAAGGTGGTCGCGATTGCGGCAGTTGAGGTACTCTGAGTTGAAGTGAAGGTCCTGTCGCTGCGAAAACAATTAAAGCAGTAGACGTCGCCTGCAAGGCTGATTGAGACATTATATAGCTTTACAATGCTTCAGGCAACTCTCCATATGCAGTTGCACCTGCAAGTCCCTTCTTTCAGGCCACCATCGACTTCTTGTTCATCTTCTTAATTATCTTCTTCTCTTCTTCTTCGCTTCTTCGCTTCTTCTTCTTCTTCTTCCTCTTCTTTCTTCTGCTTCTGCGATCCGTACACCTCCCCCCCTAGTCTCTTTTGTGCTCGTGCTCTTTCTCCCCTCTCTTCTCAGGCTCCCGCTCTGCATCGGGTCTGCCAAGCAAAAGCTCACGCATCCCTTTGCTTACTTGACCGATGATGCTGAGAGGCAACAGTCCCTAATAGGGACTATAGCATCCCCGATTATCATCCCTATTACAGTCCTTAATGGGGATTATAGTATCCCCTATTAAAATCCCTCTTAAGGAATGTTAGTAGAAGGGGGTCTCGCCCTTTGGTCTCTAGTGCACGCATGGCAAGTAAAGATCCTCGTCCCGGTTGTGGATGGCAAGCTGAGGGCCCAATCGGAGAAGTGGACACTGGCACCCGACGTGGCCCGGCCAAGTGCGTTCTCGCAGTAGACGAGCAAAAAAGACCGACCACCGGCGTGCGTGCCCGCCGGAATGGCAAGCCGCAAATCATTTGAGCTTGTCGAGGCCACAAAGCTCTCGTTGCTTCCGGAGGCATCATCTGCCAGGTACACGGAGAAGGCCTCCCAACAAGAACGCGCTTGCCAGGAGTTTGCTTCTTGGGATGCTTGCTTCAAGGCTTGGTTAGAAGATGAGGTTCAGGCCGCGTTTCAACGGCCTCAAACCGCTTCACCCCTTTTTGGACCCCTAGCAAGCAAGCCCGTTCTGAGCCTTACTGAGATTCAACCGCTCCAAAAGCCCAAGTTGTACAAATCCCAACACCCCGAGCCACGAAGGGAAATGCCAGGGAACAACCTGAAGAAAAACAGCGAAGTAGAGCTGGAGCAGTGCCAAGCCTCCACAAATCCGTAGTCCACGTTGTCTTGGCGAGTCCACGCCACTTGCCCTCCAATGTATGTTGCGACGCTGTCCTCGTCCGAGAACGTGACGGACTGAACTTGTAGTGCTCCTAAACTCATGAGCGGAAAGTCCACGATGCTCAGGAAACCTGCCTCGTTGAAGGACGTGACCATGTCATTATCCTTGCGGTTCGGAATCACCGCGAAGTACTGGGCATAACCATTGGAACCCAAGTCGCGCGATTGCGCAAAGGTAAGTTCGTGTTTCCCCAGTGGCACATCTCCTTCTGGTGTCGATGGGTCGTTCACCTGGCTTCCGGTCAAGAAGATCTCATACACAGATGAGGAGTAGTCCTTCCTTGTCAGAAGCCACACGCTGTAGTGCAAATATTCCGACGTGTTTGCTGGTGGTGTCCAAGCAAAAGTGCCATTTAGCTGGTAGGCTTCAGCGCCCAAGTCTATGAAGGACAGATTGCCGAAAGTGTTCTCACTGCCCAGTTCATCTGCTTGCGTGGACGTGGAGACCATGCCCTGGCTAGTGCTGCTTGTCTGTGTGGTCTCAGCAGACGTGGTACCTGTCCCGGTTGTGGATGGCAAGCTGAGGGCCCAATCGGAGAAGTGGACACTGGCACCCGACGTGGCCCGGCCAAGTGCGTTCTCGCAGTAGACGAGCAAAAAAGACCGACCACCGGCGTGCGTGCCCGCCGGAATGGCAAGCCGCAAATCATTTGAGCTTGTCGAGGCCACAAAGCTCTCGTTGCTTCCGGAGGCATCATCTGCCAGGTACACGGAGAAGGCCTCCCAACAAGAACGCGCTTGCCAGGATTTTGCTTCTTGGGATGCTTGCTTCAAGGCTTGGTTAGAAGATGAGGTTCAGGCCGCGTTTCAACGGCCTCAAATCCCTTCACCCCTTTTTGGACCCCTAGCAAGCAAGCCCGTTCTGAGCCTTACTGAGATTCAACCGCTCCAAAAGCCCAAGTTGTACAAATGTCAACACCCCGAGCCACGAAGGGAAATGCCAGGGAACAACCTCAAGTAAAACAGCGAAGTAGAGCTGGAGCAGTGCCAAGCCTCCACAAATCCGTAGTCCACGTTGTCTTGGCGAGTCCACGTCACTTGCCCTCCAATGTATGTTGCGACGCTGTCCTCGTCCGAGAACGTGACGGACTGAACTTGTAGTGCTCCTAAACTCATGAGCGGAAAGTCCACGATGCTCAGGAAACCTGCCTCGTTGAAGGACGTGACCATGTCATTATCCTTGCGGTTCGGAATCACCGCGAAGTACTGGGCATAACCATTGGAACCCAAGTCGCGCGATTGCGTGAAGGTAAGTTCGTGTTTCCCCAGTGGCACATCTCCTTCTGGTGTCGATGGGTCGTTCACCTGGCTTCCGGTCAAGAAGATCTCATACACAGATGTGGAGTAGTCCTTCCTTGTGAGAAGCCACACGCTGTAGTGCAAATATTCCGACGTGTTTGCTGGTGGTGTCCAAGCAAAAGTGCCATTTAGCTGGTAGGCTTCAGCGCCCAGGTCGATGAAGGACAGATCGCCGAAAGTGTTCTCACTGCCCAGCCCATCTGCTTGCGTGGACGTGGAGACCATGCCCTCGCTGGTGCTGCTTGTCTGTGTGGTCTCAGCAGACGTGGTACCTGTCCCGGTTGTGGATGGCAAGCTGAAGGCCCAATCGGAGAAGTGGACACTGGCACCCGACGTGGCCCGGCCAAGTGCGTTCTCGCAGTAGACGAGCAAAAAAGACCGACCACCGGCGTGCGTGCCCGCCGGAATGGCAAGCCGCAAATCATTTGAGCTTGTCGAGGCCACAAAGCTCTCGTTGCTTCCGGAGGCATCATCTGCCAGGTACACGGAGAAGGCCTCCCAACAAGAACGCGCTTGCCAGGATTTTGCTTCTTGGGATGCTTGCTTCAAGGCTTGGTTAGAAGATGAGGTTCAGGCCGCGTTTCAACGGCCTCAAACCCCTTCACCCCTTTGTGGACCCCTAGCAAGCAAGCCCGTTCTGAGCCTTACTGAGATTCAACCGCTCCAAAAGCCCAAGTTGTACAAATCCCAACACCCCGAGCCACGAAGGGAAATGCCAGGGAACAACCTCAAGAAAAACAGCGAAGTAGAGCTGGAGCAGTGCCAAGCCTCCACAAATCCGTAGTCCACGTTGTCTTGGCGAGTCCACGTCACTTGCCCTCCAATGTATGTCGCGACGCTGTCCTCGTCCGAGAACGTGACGGACTGAACTTGTAGTGCTCCTAAACTCATGAGCGGAAAGTCCACGATGCTCAGGAAACCTGCCTCGTTGAACGACATGACCGTGTCATTATCCTTGCGGTTCGGAATCACCGCGAAGTACTGGGCATAACCATTGGAACCCAAGTCGCGCGTTTGCATGAAGGTAAGTTCGTGTTTCCCCAGTGGCACATCTCCTTCTGGTGTGGATGGGTCGTTCACCTGGCTTCCGGTCAAGAAGATCTCATACACAGATGTGGAGTAGTCCTTCCTTGTGAGAAGCCACACGCTGTAGTGCAAATATTCCGACGTGTTTGCTGGTGGTGTCCAAGCAAAAGTGCCATTTAGCTGGTAGGCTTCAGCGCCCAAGTCTATGAAGGACAGATTGCCGAAAGTGTTCTCACTGCCCAGCTCATCTGCTTGCGTGGACGTGGAAACCATGCCCTGGCTAGTGCTGCTTGTCTGTGTGGTCTCAGCAGACGTGGTACCTGTCCCGGTTGTGGATGGCAAGCTGAAGGCCCAATCGGAGAAGTGGACACTGGCACCCGACGTGGCCCGGCCAAGTGCGTTGTCGCAGTAGACGAGCAAAAAAGACCGACCACCGGCGTGCGTGCCCGCCGGAATGGCAAGCCGCAAATCATTTGAGCTTGTCGAGGCCACAAAGCTCTCGTTGCTTCCGGAGGCATCATCTGCCAGGTACACGGAGAAGGCCTCCCAACAAGAACGCGCTTGCCAGGATTTTGCTTCTTGGGATGCTTGCTTCAAGGCTTGGTTAGAAGATGAGGTTCAGGCCGCGTTTCAACGGCCTCAAACCCCTTCACCCCTTTGTGGACCCCTAGCAAGCAAGCCCGTTCTGAGCCTTACTGAAATTCAACCGCTCCAAAAGCCCAAGTTGTACAAATCCCAACACCCCGAGCCACGAAGGGAAATGCGAACAACCTGAAGAAAAACAGCGAAGTAGAGCTGGAGCAGTGCCAAGCCTCCACAAATCCGTAGTCCACGTTGTCTTGGCGAGTCCACGTCACTTGCCCTCCAATGTATGTTGCGACGCTGTCCTCGTCCGAGAACGTGACGGACTGAACTTGTAGTGCTCCTAAACTCATGAGCGGAAAGTCCACGATGCTCAGGAAACCTGCCTCGTTGAACGACATGACCGTGTCATTATCCTTGCGGTTCGGAATCACCGCGAAGTACTGGGCATAACCATTGGAACCCAAGTCGCGCGTTTGCGTGAAGGTAAGTTCGTGTTTCCCCAGTGGCACATCTCCTTCTGGTGTGGATGGGTCGTTCACCTGGCTTCCGGTCAAGAAGATCTCATACACAGATGTGGAGTAGTCCTTCCTTGTGAGAAGCCACACGCTGTAGTGCAAATATTCCGACGTGTTTGCTGGTGGTGTCCAAGCAAAAGTGCCATTTAGCTGGTACGCTTCAGAGCCCAAGTCTATGAAGGACAGATTGCCGAAAGTGTTCTCACTGCCCAGCTCATCTGCTTGCGTGGACGTGGAGACCATGCCCTGGCTAGTGCTGCTTGTCTGTGTGGTCTCAGCAGACGTGGTACCTGTCCCGGTTGTGGATGGCAAGCTGAAGGCCCAATCGGAGAAGTGGACACTGGCACCCGACGTGGCCCGGCCAAGTGCGTTCTCGCAGTAGACGAGCAAAAAAGACCGACCACCGGCGTGCGTGCCCGCCGGAATGGCAAGCTGCAAATCATTTGAGCTTGTCGAGGCCACAAAGCTCTCGTTGCTTCCGGAGGCATCATCTGCCAGGTACACGGAGAAGGCCTCCCAACAAGAACGCGCTTGCCAGGAGTTTGCTTCTTGGGATGCTTGCTTCAAGGCTGGGTTAGAAGATGAGGTTCAGGCCGCGTTTCAACGGCCTCAAACCGCTTCACCCCTTTTTGGACCCCTAGCAAGCAAGCCCGTTCTGAGCCTTACTGAGATTCAACCCCTCCAAAAGCCCAAGTTGTACAAATTCCAACACCCCGAGCCACGAAGGGAAATGCCAGGGAACAACCTGAAGAAAAACAGCGAAGTAGAGCTGGAGCAGTGCCAAGCCTCCACAAATCCGTAGTCCACGTTGTCTTGGCGAGTCCACGTCACTTGCCCTCCAATGTATGTTGCGACGCTGTCCTCGTCCGAGAACGTGACGGACTGAACTTGTAGTGCTCCTAAACTCATGAGCGGAAAGTCCACGATGCTCAGGAAACCTGCCTCGTTGAAGGACGTGACCATGTCATTATCCTTGCGGTTCGGAATCACCGCGAAGTACTGGGCATAACCATTGGAACCCAAGTCGCGCGTTTGCGTGAAGGTAAGTTCGTGTTTCCCCAGTGGCACATCTCCTTCTGGTGTGGATGGGTCGTTCACCTGGCTTCCGGTCAAGAAGATCTCATACACAGATGTGGAGTAGTCCTTCCTTGTGAGAAGCCACACGCTGTAGTGCAAATATTCCGACGTGTTTGCTGGTGGTGTCCAAGCAAAAGTGCCATTTAGCTGGTACGCTTCAGAGCCCAAGTCTATGAAGGACAGATTGCCAAAAGTGAGGAGTGGGTCAAACGTTGTGACGGTGTTGGTGGTGCTGGTGTGCAATTGAAGAGTAGCACCGTTTGTTGTGCTGGAAGTGAAGGTAGTTGTGCTGACCAGGACTGACAAGCTTGAGCTCGTTTGCCTTGTCGACGTTGCGGTCGTGGATGTGTAGGAAGTTGTGGAGCTGCTCAGAAATGCGCGGGATGATGTCGACGTCCTACTGGTCAGCACTGTGTTCGTGAGGCTCTGTGAAGATGTTGTTGTGGTTGCTAGGGACGTGGTCGTGGAGGGCAAGCTGAGGGCCCAATCGGAGAAGTGGACACTGGCACCCGACGTGGCCCGGCCAAGTGCGTTCTCGCAGTAGACGAGCAAAAAAGACCGACCACCGGCGCGCGTGCCCGCCGGAATGGTAAGCTGCAAATCATTTGAGCTTGTCGAGGCCACAAAGCTCTCGTTGCTTCCGGAGGCATCATCTGCCAGGTACACGGAGAAGGCCTCCCGAAAGCAAGGCATGCGGAGGTGGAGTGGGGACCCGGACTTTACACCTTCCAAGATCCTGCATGATCTGTGAAGGGGTATCCATTGTTGTATGATTGAGGCTCCTACGTCGGCACTCTCCTGGCTATATAAATATGTAAAACCGATACACGCAGCACCGGGGGTGTCCGTGCATGCACTGCAGGAAGCCGAGAATCTACGGGTAGTTGCATGGTCCCTATGGGCCCTTAAACGGGAACCCAAACTACCCTGAAATACCCTGTAAGCCCAAGGAGAGGAGGTAAGGGACCAGATTAAGGGCCCAATGACACTGACTGCCCTTAGAGAGAACCCGAGACGGTGGGGTTATGGAAGCGAGCTGCGAGCACAGCGTTCGTGAGCAATACGGAGGTCTGGGCTGAGCTCGTTCCCCAAACACTTCTTTGCACTGACTTTGGCAAAAAGAAAACGCATCCCGGCTTCTTGGGTATATGAGGATCATTCGGACATCAGCGTATCGTCCAACTGTCATGTCCAAGAAAGACAACAATCCTTATTGCAGCTACCACCACCCTATTTTTCAAATCCCAAATGATGACAATGGCCTACTGACATGGCAGGAGCGGAGACAAACAGGGAGGCACACAACCTGGCCTCCACGAATCCGTAGTCCACGTTGTCTTGGCGAGTCCACGTCACTTGCCCTCCAATGTAGGTTGCGACGCTGTCCGCGTCCGAGAAATTGACGGACTGAACCTGTACTGCTCCTAAACTGAGCTCAGAGTCCGCGATGCTCAGGAAACCTGCCTCGTTGAACGACGCTACCATGTCATTATTCTGGCGGTTCGGAATCACCGCGAGGTACTGAGCATAACCGTTGGAGCCCAAATCACGCGTTTGCGCAAAGGCCAGCTGATGTGTCCCCAGTGGCACATTACCTTCGGGTGTCGATGGGTCGTTCACCTGGCTTCCGGTCAAGAAGATCTCATACACAGATGAGGAGTAGTCCTTCCTTGTGAGAAGCCACACGCCATAGTGGAGATATGGTGATGTGTCCGTCGGCGGCACCCACGTCAGAGTGCCATTCAGCTGGTAGGGTGCAGGGTCCAGGTCTGTAAAGGACGCATGGCCGACAACTGCTCGATGTTCTGTGGTGGTTGTGGTGGTGCTGCTGGCACTGCTACTGGTGAAGCTCCCATCGGCTGTGGAGCTTGTGGACGACAGCGAGGTCGACGTTTGGGACACCGTCGATGTCGAGCTTGAAACCCGCGCGCTCGATGTTGTCCCAGAAGTGGTTGCTGATCTGCTCGTCGTGGAAGTGGCTGTGACTGACACTGTTCTGGTAACAGTTCCAGTACTGGAAGAACCGGTAACAGTATTGCTTCGGGTGGAAGTAGCTGTACTTGAAATTGTGCTGGTAGCAGTTCTTGTGGAGGATGAAGATGTAGTGGACGTGGCGGTGCCTGTAAGAGTAAAGCTGACAGTGGAGCTAGCAGTGCCTGAAATCGTGCTGGTGGCCGTTCTTGTTGAAGATGAAGATGTAATGGATGTTGTGCTGTCTGAAACGGTGCTGGTGGCAGTAGTTCTTGTTGAGGATGAAGATGTAGCGGACGTGGCGGTGGCTGAAATTGTGCTGGTGGCAGTTCTTGTTGAAGACGAAGATGCAGTGGACGTGGCGGTCGCTGAAGTTGTGCTGGAGGCAGTTCTTGTTGAAGACGAAGATGCAGTGGACGTGGTGGTGGCGGTGACACTGACAGTTGAAGTGGCAGTGACTGACAAGGTGTTTGTCATTGTTCTTGTTTCCGATGTTGTCGTCGTGGCAGTTCGGCTAGTGGTGGAGGTCTCCGTGGTGGAGTCGGTGGTGGTGGTGGTCCCCGTCAAGGACGTCGTTGTAGATGTGGTCATCGAATGGCTTGTGGTGGTAGAGGTGGTAGAGGTGGTTGAGGTGGCTGTCCGGGTCGCTGTCAGGCTGGAGGATGTTGTGGTGGAAGCCGTCTCGGTGATGGTCCCTGTGACCGACGTGGATGTCGAGGCCGTGGCGGTCGAAGTCCTGCTGTAGGTGGTGCTTGTGGTTATGGTGGCGGAGGTGCTAGAGGTCAGGCTTGTAACGGTGGTGGTGGTGCTCCCAGTGGCAGTTTCCGAGGTGGTGGCGCTTGACGTCGATGAAGCAGAGGAGCTGGATGTCGTGGTTGTGGACCGCGTCGTTGTCGTGGAGGTCGATGTCACCGTGATGGACTGTGAAGAACTCGTGCTTGAGGAAGTGGCGCTCTGGGTGACTGTGGAAGATGTTGAGAGCGTGCTACTGCTCGTGGCCGTAACAGATGCGGACGTGGCTGAGGATGAACCTCGGATTCTATTGCAACCATGATGTGTAAAGCAAGCATCTCCCCGGCTGACCGAACAGAATCCAACAGATACAGTATGTAATTTGCCTGACCAGGCGCTTGTTAAAGTAGAGGTGAAGACTGAAGTTGGCGTTGTCGTCATTGTCGTTGTCGTGAGCGTAGATGGAAAGCTTAGCGCTGAGTCTGTGAAGAGAATGCTGGCAGCTGATGTGGCCCTGCCTAGAGAGTTCTGGCAGTACACAAGCACCTTAGCGATCAGTGGATCAGGCATACTCTTCCATGAAGGGTCAAGCACGTGCATGAATTCATTCACATCTGTCTCGTACCCTCCACTACTCTCCTTGCACTGTGCGCCGCAACCGTGCCTGGGATCTTCGTGCCAAATAGGAACCATGACTTGTGCGCTCTTGCGCCCGAGAGTAGGATGAGGTGTGCAGGAGCCTTTTCGCCCAAGCAACTGAAAGCCAGCACTGCGTTTTGTACCCAACCCACACCGCGAGATTCCGCGTCTGAGAGCTGTTTATTCTAATTGAGCTTAGGACCTCGATTTTGAACTGCCCAGGCACAACAAGGCCAAGACACTCTCTCGATATGCTCATGCTTTAGGGCCTTAAAGCATCCCTAAACCCTAAACCCTATACCCTAAACCCTAAATTAAACCAAAACCCATCCAAGCTGCATAGGATCTGCCGTCGGCAAACGTCCCCGTGGGAATCGTGAGCTCCAGATTGCCAGGCGCAGTGGAAGCCACGAAGAGCTCATTGCTTCCGGAGGCGTCGTCGGCTAAGTACACGGCGAAAGCCTCCCAACATCCCACGACTAGCTTCGGGTTTAGGTCATAGGGTTTTTCGTTTAGGGTTTAGGGTTCACGGTTTACGGTTTAGGGTTTAGCTTCCCTCAGCAAGATGTCCACACAGACTCAGTCTAGCACGGCTAGAAGCCACAATTGATACGAGCAAAAGTTCGAAGAATCACCCTTCGCGCGTGGCAGCGGGGTGGTTGGCACTCAAGGTCCAGTGCTTGCGGCATGCGGGCTTTGGACTCGAATTGGCTCCTCATGGTGCATGGTGCCTCAACCAGCTGGAATTTGATGGGGCGCCGATTCTTCGCCCAGGTAGACAAGGGCTGCCAGGAATGGAGTCCGAGAACACTGGGCTGCTACAAGGTAGCTTTTCACAACAAGAATTCAAGGAAAGCACGCCGCACCGCGTGTGCTTTTCTAAGCAACGCTGAACACAAAATCTTGCGAGCCATGGGACAGCTGCAAAGAAACCGGTGACCGCAAGCTTCAGAACCCAAAAAGGCGCCTCCACAAAGCCATAGTCCGTGCTGGCCTGTCGAGCCCAGCTTACCGGCCCTCCGACGTAGGTCGCCACACTGTCTTCATCGGTGAAGGCCACCGACGAAACTTGCAGGGCTCCAAGGCTCTGCTCGGCGTCTACCAGGCCGATGATGTCCTAGACTGAATTTGGGAACCCCTGGCAAAAAATCATACTTTTTCTCG